CCCGAGGAGGCCGCTTGACTCGCCCTGCATTGCCAGGGAGGTGGCAGGGGCTGGGTTGCATCCCCCGGGGGAGGCGGGCAGGGATGAGGGACACGTGGGGGGTGCAGCCATGAACTTGACAGAGCCAGGCCCCGGAATATTCCGGGTCCCCAGGCACCCCGGGCCCACAGATCTCACTGCTCTGGGCGCGTCTACACTGCAAGCAGCTGCCCATCGCTGTTGAGTTCACCACCGTGGGGGAAACCGATACCGACCAGAGGGGTGCACGGGGAAGAACAGCACTTACTGGGCGGCAAACTCAGCGAAATGCAGCCGCGCCGCGTCTCGGTGTTTGAAGGAGGGCCGTTTGCCGAGCGTAGTTTGACACGAGCGGCCGGCGCGCGGCGTTGCCACGGCGATCAAGCTTTCGGAGTTTGACTCTCACCGGCGGCTGTTGTGACGTAATTGTCGCCTGGCCCCCTCCTACCGCCCGGACGACATTGCCCCGGAAGGGTGAAAAAGTACCTCGGTAAAAATAAAACGCTTAAAATCCCAACACGGCACATGTGCAAACAGAGTTAAAAACGCTTGGAAAGCAGAATCGATAGTACCCACGAAAAGGATGGAAAAACGGAAAGTGAATTCTGCCACGGCGCTACAGAAATCGCTGACTCAGTGCAACTGGCTGAACAGCTACGGCTTATGCCAGGGATGAGCAATAAAACGGCAGCGGATCACCAGGGTGAACCCCTGGACGCTGTGTTCAGCCGCACCTCCACAAGGACGGGCGATTGTAGAGCTGGTGGGAACCGGGATCCCCGTTACCTGCAGGTAAAGACGGTGGTGGACGGGCCCACCAGGGACTCACCCTGGCAGACCAGATGCGGACTGGGCTTTGCCCACCGTAGGCTATAACCAGGTGACCCGATGGTCCTGTCGGGCTGTCAGATCTATCAGTCTGCGGTCCATGAGCATCCTGTTTTCACAATGCCGCCTGTCTACAGTGGCCGTGAGTACTTGCGCAAGAACACTGACATTCTCATGTGTAAAATCAGTGCTTCGTGCGCAAATACTCTGACGCTCCCGCTCAGCGATAAGCCCTCTTGTGCAACTGTTCTTGCGCAAGAGGCCAGTGTAGACAGGCAATGTTAATTTCTTGCACAAGACAGTCCGATGGTTAAAATGGCCATCGGAGCTTTCTTGTGCAAGAGAGTGTCTACACTGGCAGGGGGGGGTTTGGGGGAAAAACTCTCTTGTGCAAATACTTTAACGCAAAAACTCTTGCGTTAAAAGTATTTGCACAAAATCATGCCAGTGTAGACGTAGCCAAGGAGAATTATCCTTAGCTCCATCGCCCGTCCCTACCAACGCTGCCTCTTTTTCCTACCCTCTTGATGCAAACAACCCAGGTTCACATGGGGCCAGACCCGCTGTGCCACCTTATCCACTGGAGGAGCCCCCCAACCGCTGTACCGTCACGGGCCCCTTTATCCTTCCAGCCTTCCAAGGGTGCCAACTCTATCCCTTGGGAAGCTGGTGGTGGGTTTCTCCTGGACGGGCCCCCATCCCACAACCTCCCACTCCAGAGTCAGGTACCTTAGCCACCCCGACACTGGAGGAGGGGGCTGTAGCGGGACACCGGAGTGTAACACCTGCGGGTGACCCACCTTTTGTTATGCAAAGACCTGCAGAGACAGGGCCTCATTGAGCATGCCAGGCGTTTCTAGAAGGACTCTGTGTTTACCCGGAGATTTCTCTTTCATGACTCAGGCTCTTTCTTCCTCTCTGTGTGCGCGGGGGTTGCCCTTGGCCGTGCATGGTTTGGGCATTGTGGCTGCACAAAGAGAAAGCTTAAACTTAGAAACAGGTAACCCGACCCAGGACTTTCAAACGCCTGATTTTTTGGTTTACTAGTTAAACTGTAACTAGGGTGGGGCAGCTATGCTGGGTTGACCTGCAGAAAACACATTCTGATTTTGACAGCAAACCGAACAATTGATGGTTTGTTTTTGGTGCGGATCCAACAAAATCTTTGTTTCATTTGGAAGCCCTGCCCCATCCCTCTGCCGAAAATGTTTTTGACAGCAAACCGAACAATTGATGGCTTGTTTTTGGTGCGGATCCAACAAATCTTTGTTTCATTTGGAAGCCGAAAATGTCAAACCAAACGGTACCCAAAACGGAGAACACGATCGAGTGTGGAAATCAAACCTTTTGGGTGCAAAAAAGCGGGACGGGAACCTTTTGACTTGTGTGGGGGTTCCCCCCCGCCTCTCGCCAGAGCTCTCCATCTTCCCTTTGGGAAAACAGGCTCCTACTGTGTCTGGTTGCAGAGGCACCGGGTCATTGGGAGTATTCGGTCATCCAGCCAGTTGCAAAACTATGCGGCGTTACCATGGTATCCACAACAACAAAGAGAAACTTTACTTCTAATCCGTGGGGATTGCCGGAGAAAAGGTACAGAGCCAACCCCCGTTCTCACCTTCCCGGGTGTCAAACTGGAGTGACCTTGGTTAAAAATCAGGGTAAACGAGAGTAGAAACCGGTTTCTAATGGACTTGATACACTGAGATAGAAGGGCCCGCTGGCTGGGTTTACATTGATTTAATTGAGATCAAGGCTGTCTCTGAATGGGTCTGGATTCTCTCCCTCCCCCCGCTTTGCATTTCATGGTGTCCTTTTCCCTCTGTGCAAAGCGACCGTGGAACACACCCAGATACGCCTGGCTGCATTTCATCCCCATTGTGCTCTGGTGTAACTGACAAGGCCAAGGGTGCCAGCAAAAGTTTGTGGAACCAGCTAAAGTCCTACCCGCAAAGTGTTAACTCGATTCTACTCTCGTCCAAAAGATTGCAGTGGGGCTGGGTTTTGCTGGCCTGCAGAGTCCCTCCCCACCCCCCATGCTGCCCTGCAGAATTGTGCAGGAGGTGAAAACCCAGGCGTGATTCTCAGATAGGAGAGGGCTTCAAGAGCTCGGAGGCGGCTTGCTCCTTCCTGTTGCTGCAGACCCGCAGAAGTGGAAGAGGTTTTCCAAAACATTTTTGCTTTGTGCCTCCCTCTGGGTGGGTGTCGGAGGGATTCACCCTGGATCTGACCGGGCGTGTTCTGACCATGAGGCGAAAGCCGCACGTTTCTTGCGTGCACCGTCAGTCTCAACTGTCTTTTAGTTTAGATCCAAGTCCGAAGAAAAGGAAAGACACCGGGCAAGACCGCAGCGTCTTTCGGCCGCAGCTTATCTTGGAAAAGCTCTCAGGGCCCTTCCTTTTTGCTCTCGCACTGTGATGTTTAAGCAGGATCTGCCATCCACGGTAGAACCTCCGAGTTATGAATGGCTCAGCCAACTCACCCCTCCTTCGGAACCAGACACACGCCACCACGCAGCAGGAGAGACCCACATACAATAAAAATGTCAATACAGGGCAGCACTGTGCTAAATGTAAGCTCATGTTTTTTTAAAAAATCAAGCGACAGCAGCCGCCTTCTCCATCGCCACGTTTCAGAGATGTACAAAGTCGAAATGTCATGAGCCATGGACTTAAACTGCAGCCAGGGAGGTTCAGGTTGGATAGCATCCAAACTTTCCACCTGTCTAATTGAAACACTGGAATAAATCGCCTAGGGAGGTTGTGGATTCTCCATCACCGGAGATATGTAAGAGCAGGTTAGACAGACACCTGTCGGGGTGATCTAGACGGTGCCTGGTCGTGCCATGAGGGCAGAGGACTGGACTCTCGAGGGCCCTTCCCGTTCTAGGATTCTGGGATTTGATGGGTTCACGTTTGAAAGAACAGCCCCGCACATTTTGGTCCCTGTTGCAACCGTTTCAGAGTGACAACCAGGCTCCATTGCCTGGGGGAGTTTCAGAGTGACAACCAGGCTCCATTGCCCGGGGGAGGGGGGGTTGCAGTGGGAAGGTTTTACTGTATTGTTTAGAGGAGCAGCCACTGGCTGGATTTCTTGATTTAAGTCTCTGTGTCTGGCCTGATTCTAATTTGCACGTAGGATGCACTCTGGCTGGGTAGCAGGCACCACCCTGGCAGTGTTACGGGTTCCATACGTTTGCTCCTTATTTAAGGCTCCTGTGAAGAGCCAAAGAGGGGTTATAAATCCGGTGTTTCAAATCCCGACTACCTGGGCTGGCTGCTGACCCTTCCTTTTGGCTCCTGTGAGCCTAGAGGAAGCAGTAACATGAATGAGACTGTCTGGAGGCTTCGGACACTCTCTCTGCGCCACCAGGAAATGGAGCAAGGTTCAGGAGTGCAGGAGCCTTCTGCCAAGAGTGGGAGGAGGAGCATGCTACCTTCCCAGGTCTGTGCACACCGCCTCCCCCTTCCCCCCACCCGTGTTCAG